GGTTACACCTCTTTGGCCCGTGAACCGCCCGCACGGGTCACGGGTCGGCCCGTGGGTCCGGTTTTCACGGGCCGGTTTTCACGGGTCATGGTCGGCCCGTCCGTCTTGACACCTCTATCTATATGTACTCAAAAAACACGTTTGATGAAAAATAAATTTAAAAATGTACATATGTCTTCACATTGTACATGTCAAATCAAAAGCATGCGGTACACGTCACCCACAAACATCAGCGGTGGGACACGTAAGCAATAATGGAGAAATCATTATGAATATAACAAATATTCGACGGATGCGGGCTTTCGCCGCATCCCCATGTGGGCCCATGTTAATTCTTTATTCTCATATTGATATTCCACTGTAATCAATGAAGAATGGCAATGGTTTTTTTTCCTTTTACAAAAGATTATTCTAATATCTTTATGCTCCGATTGGTGTTGATTTCATTTCAAGAATAGAGTAAAAAAAAATTGGCAATTTGTTTTCGTTTTCTGAAAAACTAAAAATACATTTATAAAATACACTTGAAAACATAATTTTTTTTCTTGACATTTTAAGAACTTTTATATTTCGGTTAATTTATTTTGCTTTCCCCACCCCCTCTCAAGTTTCATTTTGTAGTGAATTAGCAACACAATTTCATGACTAAATGAAAATTTCGTTATATTAACGAACACATAAATGTATCTAAATAGAAATTAAAAAATAATGACTAACGAGATTGAACAATCAAAGATTAAAAAAAGTTCATTTTAATTCAAATTAGTTGTGACAATTTACAACGCTTGAAATTTGTTACTAAAGTCAAAATAAGTATACCAAGTGAATTAAAACTACAACTAACAAATTAAAATTATGAAAATTTAGACAAAAATATGCTACCGCTCAAGCAACTTAAATACATGGGACGTGACTAAAAGCTTAAAATTACTACTTCAGTTATTATAGAGGTGTCAAGACGGACGGGCCGATCAGACCCGTGAAAATCGGCCTGTGAAAATCGGGACCGCGGACTCACCTGTAACCCATGCGGGCGGTTCATGGGCCAAGGAGGTGTAACCCGCGAGCTTCGCG